TTGACTTTTTAAGTTTGTATATATTCAAAAATTTAGATGATTAGAAAACTATTAGATACTTCAAACGGTCAATTTGGGAGTAATTAAATTAACTATTTGTTAGGATTACATAATTATTGGAACTTGTGGTTCTTCACTAAATCAAATGTGGTTTTTTTAAATTGTTACAATAATATAATTATTGTAAAAAGTCCTAGCAACGGTAAAATTGAGAATAAGTTAAAACTAATCATCGTTTACAAGTTAACATGGATTTTTTAACATTATTTCAGTTCAAATTCTCGAATAGAGTAGTTTTAATAGTCATATGGTAAAGTAGAAATATGTACTAATTTATTTTCACATTGTAACGTACATTTTTAAGGTGCTAACCTATGTAAATTACATCCACTTGTGTAAGATTCCAATATTGGATTACACTCAAAGTTCCAAAATTGGTTTTGTAAAAAACCACAACATCTCAAATAAATACTACATTGAGAAAATTCAAATTTGAAAGATCAAATAGATGTTGGCGTTCTTTTTTAAGGGAGCTAAATTTACTCATTATTTATCACATTTTCACGTTATCGTTTTTGTTTTTATTTAATTGTGTGTGAAATCTTTTAATATATAAAAACTAAGAATATTGTTTGTGAGAGTAGAACTAAAAACTTGGCACAAAGTCTAATTAATTGAAAGATTTTTGTTACTTTTCGACCTTGGTTTCTTAGGTGCAAGTTAGAAAATTTGAGAAACAGAATCATCTTATTTAAATAGTTTTCAATATCGACGAGATGATCATCTTAGAAAATAACTTTTACTTAATTATTATTAATAATTCCAGGTTGTTAATGCTTGAGGCGACAAGTTTATATCGTAAAGGAAATAAAGTAGTGGATGATCTAGCAAAATTTGGAAGCAATTTAGATGTTTTTGAATTTTGGTATCCTTTTTATGTATTTTCATCTTTTGAAAATTATTGTCTAATGACCATACCCAAAACAAATCAAGTCATGTACTAAACTCTAGTTTTCATTTTATTCTACCAAAAAAAAAAAAAAATCTATGCGATTCAAGATTTGCAAGTTTCTCAGTTCTCTTTCTTAAAACTAAAGCAATGTAAATGTTTTCAATGTTATTTTTTACAATTTTCTAGAATATGTTGGGTTAATTAACAAATTAAATGTGAAAACCAAGAGAATCACAGCTGCATGCATGCATTAAAGGGGGAAGTAAGAATGATAAAGAATTAAATGTAGAGCCAAAGCTGACAAGGAATGAGCCTTTTTTTGGTGCTGTTTTTCCTACACTGCATTTCTTAACAAATACGTAATAAATGACAAGTGACAAGGAACATCTCTATTTTGTTCGGTGGGTAAAATTATCGGATATCTATATAAACGAAGATAATTTGTAACACAATAACAATAAACTTAGTGTAATTTTATAAGTGGGGCCTGAGTAAGATAGTGTGTACGCAACCCTTACCTCTACCTTATAAAGATAGAAAAACTGTTTCCGATCAACCCTCGGTTCATGCCACAAACGGAGATAACATGTATCTCATGAAATTAGTTGAGGTATGTGCAAACTGACGGACACCATAATTATTTAAAATAAACATCTATGTTATGTTAAACGGCAAAGGGCCAGATATACTCTTGTACTTTTGAAAATGGTCTAAGAATACCCCTCGTTATACTATTGGGTCATCTATACTCCTCCCTTCATACTTTGGAAGAAATATACCCTTATTTTGGATGGAGTGCCACGTGGCAGCACCAGATGAAAACGACCCATTTCTTTTTTTTTTTACCCGATCCATTTTAAAAAACCACCACCCCACCCGTTTTAAAATTCAGTTTTTTCAGTTTGTTTAAAGCATATATTTTGTAAAAACTGGGAAAAAAAAAGAAATTTGCAAAATATATATTTTTAAATTTTTTCAGTTTTTTAAAAGTATTGTTTTTTGTAAAAACTTAAGAAAAAAAAAACTCTCCTAAAGCAGTGGACTACGTATACATTAGTTTTACAAAAAAAGAAAACATTTTGCAAAATCTTTTTTTTCTTCAGTTTTTACAAAAAAAAATATTTATTCTAAAAACTGAAAAATATATATTTTGCAAATTCCATTTTTTTCTTTCAGTTTTTACAATATATATATTTTTCAGTTTTTTTTTTCAATTTTTACAAAAACAAATACTTTAAAAAAAACTGAAAAAACTTAAAAATATATATTTTGTAAATTTCTTTTCTTTCTTTTTTTTAAATTTTTACAATTTTTTTTCTAATTTTTACAAAATATATGCTTTAAAAAAAATTAAAAAAACTGAATTTTAAAATGGGTCGGGTGATGGGTTTTTTAAAACGGATCGGATAGAAAAAAGAAATAGGTCGTTTTAATTTGGTGCCGCCACGTGACACTCCATCCAAAATAAGGGTATATTTGTTCCAAAGTATGACGGGAGGGGTATAGATGACCCAATAGTATAACGAGGGATATTCTTAGACCATTTTCGAAAGTATAGGGGTATATTTGATCCTTTGCCGTATGTTAAATAACTTAACACAATATTTTGATTAGGACTTTTTTCGCTCAAAAAATATATATATTGTATATCAGATTAAACTGCATAAATAGTGTAAAGTTTTAATCACTCTATCAATGAGTTTAAAAGTTTAAAAAATTTATCTGCTGGTAGAAAAGTATAAGATAGAAACCTATCGCATTTAATTAACTCATTGACTACCATAATAATATATAGACACAACTTAAACGGCACGGACCATATTTCTTTATTTTTTTTTAAAAAAAAGTTTCTTGAAAGATCGTAATCTCATTAATAAAAAGCAAAGTGAAAGTATGAATTAAATAATTAAAGTCACGCTGAGGAACACGGCAAGTAAGAAATTAAGAGAATGAGGGACACAACATCTTGAAACGTGTGATTTTTTTCTGCTTTTTCTTGGACTTTGGCTCCCTTTTGTTTTTTTAATTACTTGCAGTACTACAAGTATTTAATTTCCTTCTTAAGGCATCAATGTCTTTTGATATGTCAACTCCGGTAAAGATCTGCCAAAGCATTTTCTCTTTAATAATAATGGTCAAGTTATAACGCTCGGCAAAAAATAATTATATTCGTTAACAAAATATATAAATAATATATTCACTAATTCTGTATGAAACATATATAATATATGTATATTATATATTAATATATAAAAATTATATATTTTCGGATACTATTTTTTAAAGCTATATTGTATAGTTTTTCCAATAATATTATTTGTTTAAATAAAAGAGAGATTTTGTCTTTTGACATATCATTTCAAGTGATTTTCAGTCTGTTTATCCAAATTGATTTCCAATTGTGGGATGAATTAGATCCTTCATTTTTAATAAAATATCTCGAGTTGAAGTTTCAAGAATGAAAAATATCCTAATAGGAGCACCTTTTCCTTTAATGAATTTTACGTAGCGCGAATTTGAATTAGTTGCAGCTCCAATGCATATCTTGGTCCTAAAACGTCAAAAAACGAGGAACGATCATGGAGAAGCGATGACTATTGTTCATTAGGTAGTTTTTTGTGGACCCGCAAAATTTTAAGCGATTCGAATGAAAAATCAAAAAAAAAATTCACATATTGTTGTTTATTTATTTATTAGTCAATAGATTTAAGTTTCATTAATCCAAAGGGGACCAATTGAGACACAAGATCAGTGGCACGCCAGGTTGGTCATAGCAAAAGAACAGTCTGTGTATGGTAAAAGTAAAAGTATATTAATTCACAAAAATTCAAGATTCTTGAAATTCCCAAAGAAGACAATGGGTACCAATTGAAAAAAAATAAAAAAATTTCACTTCCATTTCGAAATATTACATCTTTCTTTCACCTTCACGAGGTTGAACACCTTATGCAAATTCATGATTTCAGTTCAGTACATTCACAGTTTTTGGCCATTTGTTGTTATAGGACCTTCAAATTATTTAAAATAGTTTTTCTTCTGCAATTTGAAGCTGGCAAGTGAACAATATAAATTGAGTTTACAATTTTTTTGTATTATTATGTCAATTAAAAGATAATTATGTAACCTTTCGTAATAAATAAGATTAGTAACTTAAAAAAATATCTAATAAGTTAGTACTTGCTACAATCTGAAAAACTACACTTAAAGTGTAATTTTTTTTACACTATTATATACAGTTAAATGAACTTGCATATATTGAATGGTAAGAACTTTTATACTATAAGATAATCTAAAAAATACTAACTACAAGAGTTGCACGCAACGTAAACAGCTAGGGGTCGTTTGGTTTGAATACGGCTTATGCCGGGATAAGTTATGGTGAGACAAGTTATGTTGGGATTAGTTATGATGAGATTAATTATTTTGGTATTATTTTTTATCCACTGTTTGTTATGTTGTATTAAAAATTACAATTGCATAATTTCTAAGAAGAATGTATAAGTTATCCCGGCACTAATTACCCCACCCTCTACAAGGTATAAGTTATCCCGGCACTAATTACCCCACCCTCTACAAGGTATAAGTTATCCCGGTACTAATTTTAATCGTGGGATAACTTATACCAGGTTTGCTAACCAAACAAAGTATTAAAGTGATATTAAATTTTTATAACAGCATCATACCTTCTTATACCTCGTACCAAAGGACCCCTTACATGTAGAACAAGACTAGCGACTTACTGCAATTTAAGTATAATTATTACAATAACAATAATATATCTAATATATTTTCACGGTGTTTGATTTGAAAAGAATAACGTGTACACAGACTTTACCCTCCGCGACCTTACTTTTACCTTGCAGAGGTAAAAAAGTCAGTTCTGATAGACCATCGGCTCAAGAGAAATTAAGTATAATTACCAAGTATATAATTGTTAAGAGACAAAAATATAAGGGCAATATTGTCATTTAAACTACCCACTCTATATACTCCTATATGTTTACATTCACTTCCTCTGGGCTAGTTAGTCTTCAGTCTATCCGTTAAATTCAAATTTCTTCCACCAAATACTGCAAAAGCAAGCTCCTTGTTTCACTAAACAACACAACACAACACTGAGATTATCATTTGACTAGACATAGAAAAAACCAGAGAAACAAATACAGAACAGAGACAAAGACAGAGAAATCTAGAGAGAGAGAGAGAAGAGAGAGAAAATGTCATCAACAATAACAAGAAAACCAAAATGGCAACCAACACCACCACCACCACCAAGTCCAAAAATCCTCCATTTTCCCCGCAGAACTCGCCGGAAAAATCCCAAAAACACCACCTCAAAAAACACAAAAAAGAAACATCTTTATAATATGTGCAACCCTTTAGAGTTACATGAGAAGTATTATTACAAAGGGAGGTTAGAAAGTTTATTTGATCAAGAAAGAGAGTTTCATAGAAGTTCTTCATCAAATGTGAATATAGTGGTCCCCACTACTTCTACCTCTAACTGTACTGCAACTGAGAGGAGGGAAAGAGTTGAAGAACAAGAAGAAGAAGATGAAGGTGACAGAGAGAGGTTTGTGAAATCATAAACTTTTATATGCCAAATTTCATATTTTAACATAAAGTTATGATTTTTACTCTTTCTTAAAAATTGGGTTAATAAATCTTGCTTGAATTTATGTAAATTTGCTTTTAAAGAAGACCCTTTACTCTCCTGTAATTGTCTGTGGAATTTAAAAAAAATAATGAACTAAGTTTTAGTAATATTTTAGCATAAAGTTATGATTTTTATAGTTGAAGAAGAAGAAGAAGAAGAAGGTGGTCGAGAGAGGTTTGTGAAATCATAAACTTTTATGAGCCAAATTTCATATTTTAGCATAAAGTTATGTTTTTTACAGTTTCTTAAAAAATGGGGTTATTAAAACTTGCTTAAATTTATGCAAATCTGACTTTTGAGAAGACCCTTTACTCAATTTAAAAAAAAAAATGAACTAAGTTATTAATATTTTAACATAAAGTTATGATTTTTACAGTTCTTAAAAAATGAGGTAAATAAATTCTGCTAATATTTATGCAAATTTGATTTTTGAGAAGACCCTTTACTCTCATATAAATGTGTGTGGAATTAAAAAAAATAATGAACAATATTTTAGCATAAAGTTATGATTTTTATAGTTTCAGGAAATGGGGTTAATAAATCTTGGTTGATATAACTCAAATTTGTTTTTTAAGAAGACCCTTTACTCTGCTATGAATATTGCACTGACATGATTCAAATTTAGAGTAAATTAATAGCAAGAATGCTGCTTTTAGACATATAAATTGTCTATGTTTTGGTGAAAGGGGGAGGTTTGTGGAACCAAATTTAATATTTTAACATAAAGTCATGATTTTTACAATTTTTTTAAAAACGGGGCTAAGAAATCTTGCATGAATTAACGTAACTTTGTGATTTAAGAAAACCCTTTACTCTATTATAAATATTATTACAATGAATAGCAAGAATGCTGATTCTATTTATTGTGAACGTTTGATTCTTGACATAGAAATTGTTTAATGTATTGGTGGCAGCAGGGAGAGGTTAGGGGAGGAGAAGTGGAGGTTTCAAGCGGAGATGTTAAGGGCAGAGTGTAATTTCTTAAGAATGGAAAGAGAATTTGCTTTGAAGAAATTGGAAAGGAATAGAGTTAAAATGGAGAAGACTCTCAGATCAGCTGTTCAGACTCTCATTTCTGTTAGTATATTTTTCTCCTTATTTCTTGAGAGAATTTTAAGTTCTTTGCATTCACAATATAAGAAAATATTTACACAATAAGGTATTAAGTTTTATCGTACACATTAATTAATATCCTAGTAACGATGATAACTAACCTGCTATAATATAAAACATCATTGATAATATTGTCTTTATAACGTCTCTGCTTATAACTTAAATCCAAGTTTTAATAGTTGAAAGTACAAACAACAACAATAACAAACTTAGTGTAGTTCTACATGTGAGGTCTGGGAGGGCCTGTGTATATGCATACCATATTCATGTGTGTGTTTTAATGTAAAAAACAAAGGAAAAAAATCATGAAAAAGAAGTTTTGACAAGCCCACTGTCTAAGAAATGCACCACTGTTCAAAATTGGAAAATAGTAGTAGTAGAAGTTTTAATGGGGTTATGGTTTTCAAAATTGTCTATTTATTGAACAGAGTAGAACATTCGAAATGAAGTTTAAAAGTCCCTTAATTATTTTAATGTTTTGTTACTTTTAAGTAAGTTCAATGTCAATTTAGTTCAGAACCTGACTATCTTTTTCTTTCTTTATATTATCTTTACTCCATAAAAAAGCCAAAGTAAGAATTATACTTTTCTTGCTTGATTTTTGCAGGGGAAAAAGAAGATTTTTGACGGGAAGAATGTGAATGCAGTATTAGAAGAAGAGATTGAAGATTTGGCAGAGAAACTTGAGGAGTTGAAGAAGAGTTGTAAAAGTAAAGATGTTGAAGTGAGACATTGCAGTAATTTTGATAAAAAGGCATGCCTTTTACAGAAAAGGTTAGAAAAACTTGGAGGTTTAACAGATGAAAAAACTCTCAAAGAATTACAACAACTGACTCATCAATCAAACAATGAACTTGACAAAGAAAGTTGTGCTTCAAGTGGCAACGACAAAAGCAAGAATACACCAACTGATGTAAGTTTTGGTTTTCTTTACCTATTGTATAGTTGCCAAAAAGAGAAAAAAGTTGTAATCTTGATTAAGTACTTAACTTAAAAGAGGCTATAAAGTAAGTCATTAGGTTTTAGGCAAAAGATTATGCCTTTTAATCAACAATAATAAACCCTGTAAAATTTTATAAGTAGGGTCTAGGGAAAATAGTGTGTACGCAGACCTTACCTTTACTTTATGAACGTAAAGAAACTGTTTCAGGTAGACCATCGGTTCACCAAAAGAAAAGGGACTTTTCTTGTTGAGAAAAGTACATGATAATTGGTTTTACTTTTGAATGTGGTGTGCATTAGTTCTTTATGATGGAGAACTATTTGAGAACCTCCTATCATTTGAAAATTTCACCTTGGAGTAGGAATAGGGGTAATTGGTAACTCCATGTGGGCCATTAAAATAAAAAGATAGTAATAAATTTTTGGAAAGAAGCCAACAAGGGGTGGTCAAAACATTAGTGTCACATCAAAACACTAAGGTATACTTTTCCTCGCCAATGAGTGTAATACTGAAAAGGCGACCTTAAACAATTGATATTTTACTTTATCGAGAATTTGTTTTTCAATTTCTTTGTTCATATAATTGTTATTCGTGCTTATAATGATTAATCTTGGACTACATGCATATTTTTACTTTTTCTTCCGTTGCATCTTTTTTCATTAAAGCTCACGTTTTATTTGCGCTTAAAGCCCCAACGAACCTTAGAGTTTTTTTGTGCTTTTTGCCTTTGATAGCAATGCATAGCAACAACTAACAACAAACCCAGTGAAATCTCACAATTGGGATCTGAGGAGAGTAATGTGTACGTATTTCTTACCTCTATCTTATGAAGATAGAGAGACTGTTTTCGAAAGACCCTCGTACTCTGTTATCTTAACATGATAGTGTAGAAAAGCTTGTACACTGTAGGTGCACAACATTTAAAGTGACTTTGTTCTATTTTCGGCTTTAGGAAAATAAAATATTTAAATTTTTTTTTTTTGCAGGTGGAGGTTCTAAGAATGAAAATGGATGGACTGTCAAAGGGTATGTTAGATAGGATGGAGGAAGAATATGGGGCAACACTTACTAGCACAGCAAACAGTTCTGTTGCCAGTTCTGCTTCAACTTCCAAGAGAATTGATACTTTTACAGACCCTTCATCAACTTTTTCTACTAGACAACCATCTCAGGTAAAGTCAGAATGATGAAATATTTTATACATATAATTGTACTTCTTTTGTCTGTATCCTCAACAATAATTTAAAACTCTGTAGAGCACTTATTAGTATTGTAATACTGAAGTTTTACTATTTTCTTCTGTTGTCCTTTAGTAAGTTTAAGATACTGCTTTTAAACAGAGTTATTTTAAATTTATCAGCACCAAATGGTGGACCATATCAACATAAGATAAAGTCCTGTAATTGTAGAGGGACCTGGATATGTTATTTTGCTAATTGTAGTTGTAGGTGTTGGATATGACATTTTGATGATGCGACAGCCCTTATTTGACAATTTTATTTTATGTGGCAATCTGTAATTTTTAGCGTTGATGAATTTCTAGCCTCTCTGCCTTGGGTAAGGTCTTTATGCACACTATCCTCTCCGGACTCCACTTGTGAGATTACATGAGGTTTGTTGTTGTCGAGTTGATGAATTTCTAGAGATTTTCATTTTAGTTCGTTGATCTTACGTGGAAAACAACCCTAAAAAGAGAGTATTCCACACAACATCTCAAGAATTGATGATAATCTTTTACTATGTTATAACATTTGGAAGTAAGAAATCAGAATTGAACATTTGCAATGTACTACTTGTCTTCATCATACAATGAGTTCTATTCCTAGTTTTGAACTGATGAGATAGTTTTTGCACCCATTCTTTCATACAAACAGGAGTTGATGCCACTCGAGGAGAACAAATGCTCAGGGCGTTGCAAGGTTATAGTACGAAGGATCGTAGAACAAGTGAGAGCTGAAACTGAGCAATGGTCACAAATGCAAGAAATGCTGCAGCAAGTCAGGGGTGAAATGGAAGAACTGCAGGCTTCTCGCGATTTCTGGGAAAATCGAGCCCTTAATTTTGCTCATGAAATCCAATCTTTACAGTCCTCTGTAAGAATCTAATACTATTAAGTACTATAAAAAGTTCAGACACTATTATTATTTCTTGAAAAGTATTCTCATTGTCTTGGCTTTTATTAGGTGGAGGAATGGAAAGATAAAGCACAAGCATTTGAAACCAATGCAAATGAGCTGCAGTGTCAATTATCTGCAACAAAAGAGGAGCTAGAAAAATCAAGGACAAAGAAAGCTATAGCACATGATCAGAGGGAGGTAACATCTACTCCGAATTCGCCTCTGGTGTCATTAGCCAAACAAATAGAGAAGGAAAAACGCGTGCTGATTTGTCGGTTGAAAGAAGAAAATGCCAATCAGAAGTTGCAAAAACAAAAAGGTGTGGAAGTGATCTCAACAAAAGATTTGCCGCCTGTTTCTCTAGGGAAACAACTAGAGAAGGAAAAGCGCATGTTTATGCATCGTCTGAAGGAAAATCGGGGAGCCATTGACAGGAGTTGTAAGCCGGAACTTTCGCCTGTTGGGAGAAGAAAAGAATCTTCATGTAGCAAAGAATCAGGAGTACAGAAAAGGCTACCATTTAGAGATATTGGGAATTCTTCATCACCATTGTTAGTGAGGCAAAATAGTAAAGCTGTTTACCCTTTGCACAGCCCTGAGACTAGACAGGCAAATCAAAGGTTGTGAAAGTAAGGCAAATGACTTCTTTGTCTTAGCAGTTTTTGTCATGTTATTGTCTGCCTTAGTGAAAATTTGCTTAGTATTGAGTGGTGCAAGCCTTTTGTAAAGCAGACAATTTGGGAAAATAATAAAAGTATTTCATTGCTCATTGTGCTGATTCTTGATCATATTATGGCCATTAAAGATTATATTACTTTTTTCTATTTTCTTTTAAGTCCTGTGAAATCATCTATTGAATTGTCTCTTTAGAAATGATAGATGACAATCAAAATAGCAACTTGCAAAAACAAGGGCAGCCCGGTGCACAAAGCATTCCGCGTTCATGCATGGTCTGGGAATGGCGGCATCCAAAGGGATGTGATGTAGACAGCCTACCCTAATGCAAGCATTAGTGGCTCTTCCACAACTCGAACTCGTGACATATAGGTCACACAAAGACCATTTTACCGCCAGGGGCATAACAAAACTTTTCAGGTCGTATTTACATAAATAAATAAAAATAAGTAATATTTAATATTATTTTCTCACAAGCTGAAGAGTCTTGGCCCAATGGTTTAGTTGAATATTATTGCAAAAGGACGTGTAGGTTCAATTCTCCTTAGCCTTAACTTTTTATCGAAAATGCTCACTCAAAGATGTTCGGAAAAAAGAATGTCCAAGTCCAACCTTGAACCTATGACCTTTATAAGCTAAAACATGAGCTTGACCAGTAGACCAAGAAGCACTCTTTGCAAGGATGCAATGTCATTAATTATATATTGATTCATTTTTTGCAGAATATTAGTATTAATATTGATGGAAAATTAGGATCCACCAAACTGTATAGAGAACCTGATTCTCTATCAGTTCCCACAGACACACAATAAGAGATAAGTAAATAACACAACAGAATTATACGTGAAAAACTCCCAGCTCATGGGATTAAAAATCATGACCTACACTCGTAGGATTTCAACTTCACTACTGAGCAAACTTCAGATTACAAATTATTGTAACCTAGGAATTAAACTCTTAATCCCTCACTCACTTGTAATAACTCTATTATAAGCCTCTTTGTAATAACTCTATTACAAAGCTTACAACTCGACTAACTCTAGCCAAGACACAAATACAAGATTTATGGTTTTACAAATGGTTTCCTACAGAATGCTTCTAGCTAAGCTAAGTAGGAATTACAAGTAGATCACTCTAACAAAGTTACAACACCACTAAGGACATATGGTAACTCAGTGCTGGAAACTGGTCCTTTGTTCTTGAAGCCTTGCAGTCACTTGCAAGATAGCAACACACTTGAGAGAAAACTTGTTGATTTTTCGGATGTGCAAGTGTGTGTTTTTCCTTTGCTTCATATTGATAATATACAAGCGATGTCACTTGGATGATGCAAGCAATTATCCAGTACAAGGCATTCCCCATAAAGTGACTGATGCACTGTTTGCACTGTTGCGTGTGTGTAAAGGAACAGTTGTAGTGATTTTACAGCTATGGGGAGTTGACTGGTACAGTCAGCAAGAAAACTAATATCCATCTATTCCCTCTGTCGTCTCTTTGACTCTAGTTGTTGGAACTTGTGCCCGACTCGAGGCTTGTTATTCTTGAGTACTTTGAGGATGTGTAACAAGTTCCCCATTTGGTTCTTATCATAAAGTTTGTTAGATCATCAAAATATAAAAGTGCACATAACTTATCATTTCCCCCCTTTTTGATGATGACAAACTTATAATTGACGTTCCCCCTGGGAACCAGATCACCATACAATATATCCTGTATTCCCCCCGAGAGAACATGTTCCCCATCTCAATTTTCTTCCCCCTTTCAATTTTCTTCCCCCTTTTGGCATCATAAAAAGATTACACAAGTAATAAGCAAAAAGAAGTCCAGCATGGTTAACTCATGCCACATGTGTGCATACAACATGGCTAAAAACAAAGCATAAAAGTATAACATGCATAGCAAAAAGACGAAAAGCTCATTAATTTGAAGGAAATGAGAACATAAATAGTAGTACCATTGTTACACAACCATTTACAAAAATAAAACTTAAAAGTACCAGCCACAAAAATAATAAAAAGAGGACCAAGGTAGGACAAACAACATTTAACTGGACACTGGTAATGGGACTGTTTTAAGGAGCACTAGAAGGGGGAGGCAGGGATGAGGAGGCAAGGGTTCTGAGGAGAATATCCATTCAAGCATTTGCAAACACTTGTTCGTTAAGCAGCCGCTCCTTCAGGTCCTCGACCTGTTTCCTGAGATCTGCATTTTCCTTGGTGAGGCGAGCAACCTCTGTGCCTTGTGCACTGCTGGAACTAGGTGCCTCCTGGCCTGACTAAGCTGCCCTACAAGAATGGCATTCCGTGCCTTTAACCTCCTTATCTTCTCATTTGCAGAATTTTGAGCATCAATCAATTGAGAGATAGTGGAATTGCTACCAACCCCTCCTTTCTTATCAATGCACTCACATTCCTCCAAGGTGGTCTTTGATAAGGTCTGCTTGCGAGTTCCCACTGTTGCTTTTCCCAAAAAGACTTTGAAAAAGTGAAATACCTTAGTGAGCAAGAACCCATAGGATAGACCATGATTGCCATTCTTGAAGTCTGCCACTTTCTTCATATGCTCTATCATGAGACCAGGCACATTGATAGTGGTGTAGGCATTCAGTGCTTCCATGAGGAATAGGTCTATTTTTGATGTAATGGAATGCCTTTCCGCACGTGGAAGCAAGACTTTTTTCACCATCTCAAACATAAGTTGATACATTGGAAGGAAGGCCTTCTTGTGCACCCGTTCCCCTTGTTGCACAGCATCATCCTTCAGAATGGCACTTCTGAAATTGGGAGAACAAGTCCCCTCAATGGATGAGATCCCTTCAATAGGCACTCCCAATGTTACACCCCATGTTTTCATACGTGATAGTACGTCGTAAGTCAACTGATGTAAGCTCAGAAATGAGATCATTTTTGAAAGTATATAAAGTAAGTTAATCATGTTACCATGGATGTTACAAATATTTAAGATCACTAATACCAAGTACCAAGAGTGTTGGAAGGCTTAGAAACTAAACGAATCGAAAAAAATAAGTTTCGTCGAAAGTCGACAAGTTGGGAATGTTATAACATGTACTTTTGGGGTGAGACTAAGGTGCTCAAAATGATAAGGAGGTTATATTATGAGTTATTTTTATCTTATGATAGTCGTGTGTTATGTTTTGACGTCAAACGAGTAGTGGAACAAAATTTGGCAAATATCATCAGAAGTTACATTCATAAATATACTGAAACTTAGGTCAAATGTAGCTGAGCATTTCTCCAATGTACTTTGAATTATAGGATTATCCACATATCAAATTGACGATATACAAGTCTAGTGTCTAACACATTAAACCGTTCGTTGATACGACATCGGAGTAGAGAAATATGTGCAGTTTGCAAGACTGCGCAGACTGCATAGGTGACAAGTAGGTGTGTCAATGAAGCTTTTTGAGAAATATATTTTGTGTGCTATATGATGACTTTTTGGGACATATTATATACCAAATTGAAGGTCGTGGAATGTAGTTTTTAACGCTCTTAACCGTTTGTTCATACGATTAATATGTCCCAAAAAGACCTCATATACAATGAATTAGGTCAAATGTAGCTGAGCTTTTCTACAAATATACAATGAATTAAGTGATGATCCACATATAAAATTTACTATCTACGAGTCTAGTTTCGAACACATTAAACCGTTAATCGATACGACATTTGAGTAGAGAGATATTTGCAGTTTTGCGAGACAGCGCAGACTGCATAGGTGACAAGTAGGTGTGTCGCTGAATATTTTTGGGCAATACATTTCTGCATTATATGATGTCTTTTTGGGACATATTATATACAAAATGGAAGGTCTTGGGATTTAGTTTCTAATGCTCTTAACAGTTCATTCATACGACATCAGGATGAAAAGATATAAGCATCGGAAGAAGGGCCAATGCTAGGGTACCAAGCTAGCACCTCTTTGACTTTTCAAAAGTTGATATATATAGGGTTTTAAATCGTATTTCTCTTCATTTTTCATAGAACACGATCAGATAACCACCAAAAACTTACCTCAATCTCTCTACAAGGGTTCCAAAGAAGATTAATATCTCGGGTACGAAATTAAGAAGCGATAACATTAGAACGATCCCTACGACGTAAGTATCGCTATATCGCCTCTCTTTTTCTTTGTAGTTTGAGTTTTGGAAGGTACTTCATAGTTATGAAAATACCTAATTTATGTATTTAAGCTTTTAAATGTCAATGAAGGTTGATAAATTCATTTTCTAGTAGTTAGAACTCACGGGACAGTGATCGGAAGCCGTGAGTTCGATTTATTTCACTTTTAGTGGACTGTTTTGTAGTCCACTCGTGTTGGCCTCTTGTGCTGATGTTTTATGGAGTTTTAGAGGAGAAACGTTATGGAGAAACACAACATAATGATGGAATAGTGGTCTGGTCATTCGTCGTTACATTTTTTAGGTTGTTTGACACTACTTTGGTTGTCGTTTTATGTATGAAGTGATTAGGGTGTGTGGGCTATTTTGTGATATATTGTGATGGATATAAGGTTGGAAAATGATGCATACATGTTGTTATTTTTGTGTTCGTGTTGTTGTTGGTATATTGTATTAGAGAAGAGCCTTGTTACAGGGGAGATGCTGCCCAAATATAGGTAAACGAGCTACTAGTTTAAGTTGCGAACTTAGCCTTTACAAAACACTGATTTTGAATCTCCTTATGTTGTGGTAGATTGAGTTGAGTTGTTTGAAGAATTGCTTGGAAGGTATTAAGTACTCAACGGATTTAAGGTATGTTAAGGCTAAACCTTTCATTCATTTTGGCATGATCACGTAACTACATGCGTTTGATAACGAGGCATAAAGAGAATTTCTTATTCCTAAATTTATGTACATTATCCTAGTCTCATAAGCTACAGTATTCTCCCTTATCGGGACTTCATATTCAGTTTAGTTTTGTCTTCTTTTAGCCAAGAGTGCAGAGAGTCTATATACCGAGACTTCATATTCAGTTTAGTTTTGTCTTCTTTTAGCCAAGAGTTACACATACGGAGCCTTATAGGGCCGGACATCTATTTTACTT